TGGCTTTTACATGTGACATTGTCATTATTACACAAGTGCTTTCAAGCATTCCAATGCTGTAGACCCTGAAGAACGCTTCACGTCTCACGTCGCACAATTTGATCCATTATTATACGCTTAGGTTGACAGGAACTGTGTGAATGTCTAGTAGTTGTATCACCTTTTCATTTACTCAAAAGGCACTTCAAATAATGTTTTGACTGAGCCGCAGAGTGGCCCGGCGGGCGGCGTGACTGGCCCTGGTTCTGGCCATGGCCGCCATCCAATGGCCAGTGGTAATAATAATCTGAACATCAATCTTCCGGAAAATAACAACGCAATACTCCGACTCGAAGTTGAGTTACGTGACAAGAATGTGCCCAAGTATCGGCGCGGTGGCGGCGTGGGCGGCATGGCCGGCGCTGGGCGTGGCGCCAGTCCAGGACGTGGCGGTGCAGCAGCTGCCAAGAGAGTCGCGCCAGGTGGGCCAGGTGGTGGCGCTGCGAGTGGCACGCCCGCTGTGCCACTGGACAGACGTAATTTAGTGGTGCCGCTCGAAAAGGTGAGTCTACTGGGCAACACTCAAGGCCAGCTGACTTGGGTGCGGAGCAAGGGCGCTCGATGCCTGTTGTGCTGCGAATGCACTTAACCGGACGGAACGTGACTGAAGCACAGTCAAGCATGAGGCGGTGGTGGAACGGGGGAGTGTTAGCTTAACAATGTAAAATGGCGCCCAAATTGTCTGAGCTCGAGTCGAAAGCTGATTTTGATGAATGAGAATGGGCCCAGAAGAACTAGATCACGAGTCCGAGTCCGAGTCTGACTCTAAGTCCGATTCCGAGTCCTGATAATCAGCAAGATGAAGAAGCGCGAGCAGAGATTGATGAGCTCTACCACGGCCATCTCAGATTCAGATTCAGATACAGATACAAATATATATTCATATTCATAATCAAGGCTAGCTTGAGGTGCTTGATGTTTGCTTTCTCCGTCGCCAGGTACTCGAGGAGCTGCTTGTGAAGCTCGAAATTGAGCACGTTACTTGGACGACGAGCAAAAAAGGCTACTTCCATCACGTCGTCTTTCCGCTGCAGGCCGGCGACGCCTGCGAGACGACGCTCCACTGTCTGACGGAGCTGGGCATTGGCACCAAATTGAATTCCAGTGTCAGGTAAGTTGAGACATTGAAACACCGAGCCGAACGGACGCCAAAGAGCGAACGGCAAGAGGCAGACGTGCCGGGCGAGTCAACAAGTCGTCCATGCTGCCGTGCAACAGCTGCTCCAAATCCCATTCTCACTGCCATTTGCCAGCTGCAGCGCTCCTTCTGCCCGGTTAGGTTTTAATAAAAAGTGCAGCTTAAGCTCAGCCAGCAGCCAGCGGCCATTGGGCAGCGACCGGTGGAGTTGCCCGGGTCTTAAGGGCTTGCCAGCAAATGTTGAGTTCATATTTCGATTGCCTCTGGGCGAAAATCACGTAGACGAGCTGCAGCTGAGTGAAAGGCGGGCGTGTGGGCGTGTCGCAAATCGATTTGCCTGGCTGCAGCTGCACAGCCCCAGACGGAGAATTGAAACCAACCGCACAGGAGTGATGAAGGACGATAAAGTAACAAATGCAAATGGCTCTAAATTATGCTAAACTTAATTTCAGCTTGGGGTTCACTTCTGCTAAAGCTGCTCAGCCTGTCTGTGTGGAGGGCGTGGCTGCTCTGATATATTATTTCAAAATTAAGTCTTTTACACCTCAATCATCTACACCCAGGCACGCCCTTACTGCTCCCCACTTTTGCTTCCTCGCTTATAAAATTATTTCGAGATTTTTACCTTCCTAGGGATGGATATATATTCAGTTACTTTTTCTTTTGTAATAAAGTATTCATTAAATTTAACTAGTATATATTTTTTATTATTTAACTATTAAAAAATAATTTATGTTCGAATGAAATTACCTAAAAGGAAATAGGTCAAAATAAATTGAAAAAGGCGAAAACATTGAAAAAAAAAAAAAATATATATATATATATTAATTAATATATATAAAAATTTCAAATCAGTCAAAATATGAAATTTTCTACTAATTTATCTGAAACGAAAATCTGATAATTAAAATTCCTTTATGCGTTAAACCACATTAAATCATCAATCTCATATATGTTTTATTTTAGGGAAAACTCATATCCCTAATTAACTAAAATTACAACAAATTTAATTTAAATTAATTTCCATTCAATTTATGAAAACTCTGATTTGTAAAATACATTCTTTTCGCCCAATATTCTTTGATATTATCAAAATACTTCTGCCCAGTCCGTGTGAGAAATTCCTATCCTTTCAGTAAAATAATAATTTAGCCTGAAGTTTAGTTTCGTTTTTAAGAAATAAAATTCTAATTAAGACAACTGAGCCAATTGAAGCGCAGCACTCGAGTCTGGGCTGAATGCATTGCACGTCGAATAAGCTGCCGTGCGAGGTCTTGCGCCCCCTGCCAGTCCCGCTCACCATTTAGCCGAAGGGCTGCCTGCCTGGCCTTAAGTACAAAACAATGAAGCGCCTTAAGAAGATCGTGCGAAACAAATGAAAGGCGAAGCACAGCAAGGACGACTGCTGCCAGGACTGCTGGGACAGGCGGGCGAGGCAGGTGTGATAATCATTTAATGGCATTAAGGCGGTGCATTAAAATGCAGCCAAAGGTGTGGCCAATCAGTTCAGGAGGAGGCGGAGACGGAGGGAGGCAGCTCTGTGGATGTGGGATGGATTCGATGAGAAAAGTGATATTTAAGCTCTTTAATGCGCACAGAATGCAATTAAGTGCAGTCAGATACTTTGGAGCAGCTGCAGGCAGAAACAACAACAACAATTTGCTGACAGTTGGACTGGCCAAGTCAACTAAGTGCACAATGCCACACGCATGAGTTGCCGCTGCAGCTGCAGCTGCAAAAATATTTCCATATTCAAATGCATATCCTGCAGCACTCCAATCCGCATTCTTTGCTCTCTTTGTCTCGTTCACAGCGTCCTGCCGTGCAGCGTTAGCTACGATGCCATCACAGATGCCTCCAACCTGCGCGACGATTACAGGTGAGTGAAGTGGAGGGCAGCAGCTCCAGTTAGAGTCTGACAACGGAATGGGAATCAGAGCATCACTTGGAGTAGGAGTAGGATTTGCAGTCAGAGCAGGAGCAGAGTAGTAGGAGTAGGAGGAGCAGGAGCATGCATTTCTTTTGTGGCTGCTGGATGCTCGCTTGTACGGTTTTAATTTAAGCACCTTTGTCTGGCTGAGACACGTGTGTGACTCGACGAGATCTGACCTCACTCGACTTGGTCTGGTTTGCCTTTTGCATCGCATCCTCCTTTGTCCCCTTTGAGCGCCTTCTTTGATTCCTTTCTGTGGGCACGTAGCAAAGGCGTCTGTCATTTCATTAACTTTCACCCGTTGTTGTCTTTCACTTTCGGCGGCTTTGTTTCTCTGCCTCTCTGGCTGCTGGCAATGCGACAAGTAGGTCGCCGACTCTCTCTATTTATCTCCCTCTCTCTCTCTTTCACACTTTCATTCCCATCAAACCGTTGTGAGCCCATCGAACTTGGCCCGTGTCCAAATTCTGTGCGCATTGTGCCAGCGCCTCGAGCAAAAAGTGAAAACTGATGAAATTTGCATATGAAAGCCAAACGATTTAGGTACTTTAACCCTGTCGAAAGGTTAAATGCATTTGCTCAGTGCGCATAATTTATGACTTTGCATTCGTTTACATGCAATTTTCTCGTGCCATTTTGCTTGACTGCAGAGCGACATGCATTTAAGATAAACAACAAAATTCGTTTATGTTGACTTTGGCCCGGAGATTTATGGTCGAACAGCCTGCAAGGCTTCCATGTCATCGAAACTGTTTTTGGTCTTGCCAAAGCCTGTGATCCCTATTAAGACACTCATACGTAATTCTGCATTAATTATGATGTCAATTTCAAAGAGAATTTATCGAGCAAATAGGTTTATATATTAAAATTAACTCTGGGTAAATGCAATAATCGAAGGACTGCTTATTGGCCACGTTAGTACAGTCCAGTTCATCTAGTTGGCTGTCTTTCCATATGAATTCGATAATTATATAAATCAAACTTCACTTATTTGAGCATATCTAAATGCACTTCATATGTGATCATAAGGTATATAAAAATATCAGACTGTTCCCCATTTAAATACTTTAAAAATATTCACAACAATCAATTTGAATCATTTCTATAGGGACAGAGAGAGAGAGAGAGAGAGAGAGAGAGAGAGAGAGAGAGAGAGAGAGA